TAGATCCTTGAGCTTGCCAAAAGTTGCAGTAAAAGAGCTTCTGCATAGGGGCACCTGGGTGGCTCAGTCGTTAAGCGTCTGCCTTCGGCTCAGGTCATGATTCCAGGGTCCTGGGATCGAGCCCCGCATCGGGCTCTCTGCTCGGCGGGAAGCCTGCTTCTCCCTCTCCCACTCCCCCTGCTTGTGTTCCCTCTCTCGCTGTCTCTCTCTCTAAAAAAAAAAAAAAAAAAAAAAAAAAAAAAAGAGCTTCTGCATACAAAATAGTGGAGAGCGTGTGTGCTGTCGTGCCTTGGAAAAGGCCCTGAGTTTTGGTTTTGTTTTTTAGGCCACGGTATTTTAATCATTCATTCAACAATTATGTAATAAGCACCCCTTATGTGTCAGGTCCTGTGCCATTTTTAAAGGTCAGGGAGTACTTAAATTAAGCCAGAAAAACAGCCCTGGCCTTACAATGGGACACTCTCCAGGAGACGATTAAACTGTATGGAGTTACGGCATGAAATTATTTATTTTTTATTTTTTTAAAAGATTTATTTATTTATTTGAGAGAGCGAGAATGAGAGAGAGTACATGAGAGGGGGGAGGGTCAGAGGGAGAAGCAGGCTCCCCACCGAGCAGGGAGCCCGACGCAGGACTCGATCCCGGGACTCCAGGATCATGACCTGAGCCGAAGGCAGTCGCTTAACCAACTGAGCCACCCAGGCGCCCCGGCATGAAATTATTTTTAAGAGCAGATTCTGGGAGATGCAATTATTTCACTACACCAAAGGAAAATTTAAACAATTCTGAATAATTTTAAAATGAAAAAAAAAAAAAAAACCAACAATTTTTTTTAGGGTAGAGTGGCTACAGGCAATAGATGGAATGACATGACCAAGGACTGCCACACGGTGGCAGTGCTGCTCCAAGGATAAAGACTCGGCGGCCCAGGACTTGAGAAAAGCAAGCCACTCCTCACACTCAACTCCAGAAGAATAGTAGTACTAAAACTTTAACATGGGAGGCTTTCTCAATTTGCAGAAAAGGTGAAATAAAATATATAATTTAATCAACTTTCTCCTCCAAACTTTCATAAGCTTTTGGAATCTGCTTTTGTCTTCCAGCGAGCAAATATAAATATAACTTCGGAATGGGCTGACCATGTTAAATCCTGTGGCTTATTTTCTCATAGACATGTAATCTCAGAATTCCTTTTTTATATTGATTTTGGGTGACATAAGGATAAATCCTAGTAGTGAAAATGTTTCCTAATTTCTATGACCAGATTAGGTGTGGTCAGTACTGCAAAATATTTCCTTTAGACTACCATACGTCCAGGTGATCTGCCAAGTAAACCCATTTGAGAGTCCATCTGATCTGATTGGATTGGATCCAGTGTTTTCTACTTATAAATAATGAAAACAAGGCTCTGAGAAGCTAAACAACTTACCTAAGTTTACAAAACCCTTTATTGGACAGGTTCAGACTAATCTCTGCAAAGTGAACACTGCAGAGATTTCCCTTACTACCATCAACTTCATAAACAGAGCTTGTTGGATGACTTGCTCTATTTATTTATTTTTAATTTTTTAATTATCATGTAATGTATTACTTGTTTCAGGGGTACAGGTCTGTGATTCATCAGTCTGACACAATTCACAGCGCTCACCATAGCACATATCCTCCCCAATGTCCATCACCCAGCCACCCCAACCCTCCCACCCCCCTCCACTGCAGCAACCCTCTGTTTGTTTCCTGAGATTAAGAGTCTCTTATGGTTTGTCTCCCTCTCTGGTTTCATCTTGTTTCATTTTTCCCTCTCTTCCCCTATGATCCTCTGTCTTGTTTCTCAAAATCCTCATATCAGTGAGATCATATGATACTTATTTTTCTCTGATTGACTTATTTCACTTAGCATAATACCCTCTAGCTCCATCCACATAATTGCAAATGGCAAGGTTTCATTTTTTTGATGGCTGCATAATATTCCATTGTATATATATACCATATCTTCTTTATCCATTCATTTGTTGATGGACATCTAGGCTCTTTCCATAGTTTGGCTACTGTGGACATTGCTGCTATAAATTTGGCATGCATTTGCCCCTTCGGATCTCTACATTTGTATCTTTGGGGTAAATACCCAGTAGTGCAATTGCTGGGTCGTAGGGTAGCTCTATTTTCAACTTTTTGAGGAACCTCCACACTGTTTTCCAGAGTGTCTGCACCAGCTTGCATTCCCACCAACAGTGTAGGAGGGTTCCCCTTTCTCCGCATCCTCGCCAACATCTTTCATTTCCTGACTTGTTAATTTTAGCCATTCTGACTGGTGTGAGGTGGTATCTCATTGAGGTTTTGATTTGGATTTCCCTGGTGCTGAGTGAGGTTGAGCACTTTTTCATGTGTCTGTTGTCCACTTGGATGTCTTTGCAGAAATCAGACTCGCTTTAGATCAGCACAAGTTAATGTATAGAGTAAAATGTTTCCCCTTCCTAACTCACTCATTCCGCTCATTGTCCAAATCAGAGCTCTCTTTCTTTGTTTTTCTGGTGACTAAATAGGTGTTTTTCAAAGAAAGGAAAATGCTAATCACTTCTGAAAATGCTAATATCAGGAGTATTATCTCATTTATTCACTTCCAAAGGGAGTTCGAGAATAGTATAGTTGTCAAGTGACTGAATTAGTTCAACAAATATTAATTTGCTACCATGAGCCAGGTATGTTCTATGCCCTTGGTTCTCAAAGTGTGGTCTCCATACCGATGTAACATTAGCATCATCTGGGAACTTGTTGGAAATGAAAATTCTCGGGCCTTGGGGCTCCTGGGTGGCTTAGCTGGTTAAGCGTCTGCCTTGGTCTTGGGTCATGATCCCGGGGTCCTGAGATCCAGCCTTGTGTCAGGCTCCCTGCTCAGCTGGGAGCCTGCTTCTCCCTCTGCCCCTTCCCCCACTCCGCTTGTGCTCTCTTGCTCTCTCTCTTAAATAAATAAATTTTTAAAAAATCTTAAAAAATAAAAGGAAAATTCTCTGGCCTCACATCAGACATACTGAATCCGAAACTCTGGGAGTGGGGTGCAACAACCTTTCTACCAGCTCTTCAGATCATTCCAATGCATGCTCAAGTTGGAGAACAACTATTCTAGATAGTGAGGATATGGTGCTAAAGGAAACAAAGTGCTTGTCCTCTTGGAGCAACAATATCCAAATAGATAAAAATAAAATTCAGGCAGAGATGTTATTGGGAAAAGCAGAACAGGGGATGGAGGGAGAATGGAGAAGGGGCTCAGGCAAAGTCTCCCTGAGGAGTATGAGCTCTGGAGTCAGATTGAGCAGGGTGTGAATATTGGCTCCACCAGTTACTACCTTTAAAGGTTTAGTCCCCTGCTAAAATGGAGATAATATATTACTTACCTTACAAATTTACTCTGAAGGCTAAATAAGATGTTTGCAAAATTCTTGCAACTGTGTCTGTCACAGGGTAAGCCCCCGATATATGTTAGCCCTCCATATATGAAGGAGGAGTGCTATAGATGTATATTTGGAAATCATCAATGTAGAAATAGTGAAGCGGGTAGAAGTGTGGCTAGACGGATGGGAGAGAAGAAGATAGATAATGGGATCTTGGTGGGGGGCAAAAGTGAATTGAGAAGTGGTGAGGAGGTAAAGAAATAAAGATGAGGAAAGAGAACGTTTATCTGAACCCGCTAGAGCTGGAAATTTGGAAGAGGAGGCCAGTGGATAAGGTAACTAACTATCCTGGTTTGCCTGGGACTGAGTATCTCGGGAGGTGGGATTTTCAATGCTAAAACTGGGAAAGTCCTGGGAAAATTGGGATGAGTTGGTCACCTACCAGTGGATAGGCTCATGAGAGTGAAGTAACTACTGTGGCCTTTCTTTCTTGGTGCTCTCTGATCTCCTCCTTACAGTAATATTGTAAAGTACCTTCCAGGAGCTTGACTCAACCAGAAGCCAGAGGTCAAGGGAGCTTGGGTAATGCAGTGGGGAGAAGTCAGCCTTGCCTGGACAGAGCAGGATAAGGAATGATAGAGAATGGACCCACAGGGGGAAAAGATAGTAACCAGCATAATGACAAGGGATTAGAATTGTCTGGGATTAGTCTGACTCCAGACGTTTTATTCTTTTTTCTTGCCTTGTCTAAGGAGTCTAAGAATGGACTGGTAGGTGTTTTCCGTATCCTCAAATTAACCTTATTTTTAAAAAATATTTTATTTATTTGAGAGAGAGCACAAGCAGGGGGAGGAGTAGAGGGAGAAGCAGACTTGGAGCCCAATGCAGGGCTCGATCCCAGGACCTAAGCCGAGGCAGACGCTTAACCCACTGAGCCACCGAGACGTCCTCAAATTAACTTCCTTCCTTCCTTCCTTCCTTCCTCCCTTCCTTCCTTCCTCCCTTCCTCCCTTCCTCCCTTCCTCCCATCCTCCCATCCTCCCTTCCTTCCATTTATTTGCCCGAGAGAGGGCGCGCGCGAGAGAGGGCAGAAGCAGTGGGAGCAGCAGGCTACCTGCTGTGCAAGGAGCCAGACGTGGGACTCGATCCCAGGACCCTGGGATCATGACCTGAGCCGAAGGCAGATGCTTAACCGACTGAGCCACCCAGGGGTCCCTTAGATTAAATAAAATTATAAAGGCTATCCAAGGATATTCTTTGGTATCTGAGCAGCCCATAAAACTTTTCTTTGTCGATGTTCAGTGGCGTGAATGCTATGTACAAGAAGGAGCAGGTAGGGGGATCTAGCTGTTCCAGGGATGGAGGTCCCGGAGAAAATCCTCATAGGTGCCTTCGGTTTCCCTGGGACCTTCTCCCAGCTCACTTCCCGCTTGGAGGGCTTACACCTCAAAATGCGCTGCGGCAAGGGCCAAAGGTCAAAGGCCACCACTCGCCTGGTACCGCCTTGCAAGGCCAGATGGCCCCTCCGTCCCACAGACGGGACCCCCCCCCCAGCCTCCCTTAGTTTCAATTGACTGGAAGAGCCGGGACCCGCCAACCCAACCCAGATTGTACTTGCGGGGCTGGCCGAAGGCGCTTCGTGATTGGTAGGACAGGGTGGAGGGCGTGGCCTCATGTAGAAAGACTTCTCCGGATTGGTGCGAATCCTTAGGGCGGGGCCTTCGCTCTGGCTGGGCGCGAAAGCTCGAACAGTGTTGCCTGACTGGAGACCGCGGGAGCAGCTGCACCCCGGCTAAGAGAACCGAAGACCTGCTCCGTTACAGCAAAGCGACGGGGAAGCCGGAGTCATGACCCGCGAATTGTTTTCTGAGGTGAGTTCGTACATAGGCCGCCATCCGCAGCTACAGAGGCCTGGCGCGGTGGGGCGAGGTTGGGTAGGGGTCTCCCGGGCGGAACGGGTCGCGGAGGATGGGAGGACTACAGCTCCCGGCGTGCACCGTGGCGGCGCGCGGTTCGGTCTGGCGGGATGCCCCGCGGCCCGGTGGGCTCGCGACTCTGTGGTCCCGTCCCGCGCTGCGCTTCCCGCCCCTCGGTGCGCGTGGCAGCGTCGCTTGTGGCCCCTGCGGCGCGCGCAGCCCGCTGCCCAGCGGTTCCTCAGCGGGCCCCGCCCGTCCGGCCTCCCCTTTGGCGCGTTTCCTGCCGCCGGGGCTCTTCCTTGTTCAGCTCCCCAAAACAGAGGGCTGACCTGGGCCGCTGGGTTGCGGGGCGGGGTTCCCCGGAAATGGACGGCGGGGGTCTCTGGGAGTTCGGAATTGAGTGTGCAAGGGGACTTTGGGGTCATGCACGGGACCCCGGGAGAAGTAGCAGTCTCTGGGCTTCCCGGCTGGTGGCTGGCTGATCGCTGGCGGGATTGGGCATAGAAGCAGATGGTTCCAGACCCGTGTTCTTTCCTGGGGCCGGGACTAGGGTGAGACACTAGCCTTGGGAGCATAATTTAAGAGAGCTCCCAAAAGCTCAGTAATTAAAGTATTTTAATGCAGTATTTTTAAAAGTAAAAATTAAAGCAAAACCCTGCGGTTGCACTACATGTCACCCTCCCCTAATCCTGGCCCTGGTTCCAATAAAACTTTATTTACAAAAGTAGTTGGGTGACTTCACGAGCCATAGTTTATCAATTTGATTTTTTTAAATATTGCACTAAGATATTATCTTGATTACTGAGGTTTTTAAGATTCGACTCTGTCCTCACCCTGTTCCTGACCCTGACTGTTGCTGATATTGGTACAAATTGCCTAGAATAAAGTGATTAAGAGCATCACCATGTATTGAGTTATGTGGTTACCTAAATTCAGTTCTGCATCCACAAAAAAAAAATCTTACTGCTTTGGATTGTTGGGAGAATCATCAGCACATGCATGATGATCCTTAGTGATTCCTCAGTACTTGTTACCTTTGGTTATTATTTAAATAATTGTACCAAACATTTAAGTCAGTTTAATAGTTGTTTGAGAAACCATTAAGGTGGGTAGTGCCCTACTACTTTACAGATGTTGATATTTACCCCCCTATTTAAGTCCATTCAGAGCCCTAAGGACACCAAGGATGTAGGAGATCTGGCCTCTAGGATCAGCCTGGTCACTACCTGGTCAAGTCACCTAATAACACACCCGTACTACTTATTATTTTTTACTTATGACTTTTAAAATGGTTTTATTTGGAAAATTTCAAGCATATACAAACATAGAAAGGCTGGTATAATGAAACTGTCACCTAACTTCAACAGTTAATCAAATCATGCCAATTTTGTTTCATTTATAGTCCCACTCACTTTCCCCCTCACTGGATTATTTGGAAGCAAATTCCAGACTTCATTTCATCCACAAATATTTCATTATGCATCTCTAAGATAAGGGCTTTCCAAAACAGATAACCACAAATATTATTACCACACCTAAAAAATATAGAATTGTTGCTTAATACTAAATATCTAGCTAGTGTTGAGATTTCATTGACTCATATGTATACTTTCAGTTTATTTGAATCAGGATCCAAAGTCTGCATATTGCAATTGTTGATAATGTGTGTGTATATATGTATCTTAACTCCTCCCTCCTCTTTTTTTCTTGCAGTTTACTATTAAGGAAACACATTGTTTGTTCTATAGTTTTTCACATCTCGATGCATCTCTGTGATGTTATTTAACATGTCATTTGGATACACTGAGAAGCAGTTCAAACAAAAAACATATAATACTTGATTCTTTTTGTTTAGGTACCATTACTCAAAATAAAGCATTGGTTCTATAGCATTCTTCAAAGGTGAACAATGAATTTTTGTGTTTTTTTGCTCAGTAATTCTTTTTTTTTTTTAAGACTTTATTTTTAAATAATCTCTACACCCATTGTGGGGCTCAAACCCACAACCCTGAGATCAAGAGTCACATGCTCCACTGAACCAAGCCAGCCAGGCGCCCCTTGTCCAGTAATTCTTTTTTTTTAATTAAATTAAATTAAATTTATTTATTTGACAGAGACACACAGTGAGAGAGGGAACACAAGCAGGGGGAGTGGGAGAGGGAGAAGCAGGCTTCGTGCCAAGCAGGGAACCTGATGTGGGGCTCGATCCCAGGACCCTGGGATCATGACCTGAGCCGAAGGCAGACGCTTAACTAGTGAGCCAACCAGGTGCCCCTTATCCAATAATTCTTAATGTCATCCCTTCATTGAACCATTATATTGGTGTTTTCCTTACTTCAGCCTTACGATCCTATGATTTGTGTATCATTATGTACTTAGAGCTTTTTGTCACCAGCTGGTTAATGCCAAGTATGTTCTTATTTTCTAGGTTCACCTAGAAATCAGTGATCCAAAGCTCATTTCACAGGAAGAAGCTGATAGCCCTTCAGACAGTGGACAAGGCAGCTGCGAAACAATTGTGCCCTTGAGTGACAGAGGTTTGTAATAGTGATTTTATTTTTAGGAATAGAATAGATTGGATTAATTTCATTATTCTCTTGGTTCATTAAATTGTTAATGTCTAACCTTATTGTTTGTCTTATTTATTATAAAAACAAAATAATAGGGCTTGTACCCTTTTGACATTAACCATTTCTATTATGTTATTGAATAAAATATATAAAATGTCTAGAAGCTATCACTGCCTTGTTGAATGCATTCATCCTTTAATAAAAGGATTTTTAATACCTGTCAGAAGAATTAGAACAACTTTACACTTTGTAAATATATATAATTATATTTCTCAGTAAGAGACATTTTTCCAGGGAAAATGTTTTTCAAAACCTATTTTTAGATTTGCTTTGCTACAATCAGTTCTTAGTGGTAGTTACATAATTTCACAAGGTGACATAGCACTTGGATAATTGGATGTTTTTGAGGAGCAGTGGGACTAGGAGGAGGGCCAAATGACAGTAGACCTCTAAAAAAAATTATGTTTCCTCCAGATTCAGATGAAGAGATATTCGTGAGTAAGAAATTAAAAAGCAGGAAGGTGCTACAAGACAGTGAGTCTGAGAGAGAGGACACAAATGCCTCTCCAGAGAAAACTCCCTATGACAGTGTCGAGGAGGAAAATAAAGAGAATTTATATGCCGGAAAAAATGGAAAAGTCAGAAGGATTTACAAAACTCTGGCAGACAGTGCTGGAAGTGACATTGAGGAGTCTTTGTACCAGGAAAATCTTGAAACTCGGGTGATACCTTGTTTAGAGCGGAGTCTCCAATCTGAAAACTCTGTGGACTTCACAGTTGACAGAAAGATTTCCAAAAAACCCAAATGTGATAAAGAAGGAATTGAAGGAAAAGCAAAAGTAAAATCAAAGAGAAGACTTGAGAAAGAGGAAAGAAAGATGGAAAAAATCAGGCGACTAAAAAAGAAGGAAATGAAAAATGAGGTATATTTAAAAGAATAAATTTGTTCTTTCTAAGGCAGATGAACTTAACATCTTAGAAAAAGTTGCTTTTAGTTCTTGAGGTTTCTGCACTCAGAATATAGCTTTGAGTAGACTCTTTTGCATTGTGAGTAATGAGATATGTAATTTAAAACTTGTTGGTCTCATTCTCCATTTTGGATAAACAGGGGACACTTCCAAATAAATAGGCTTCTGATTTTCTTTTTGAGCACATGGAGTAATTGCTGCCTCTGATTTGATGAAAATTAACTTTCAGAGGAGAATTTTTTAGGTATCCATGTCAGGTCTTGTTTGCTAACTAGAGAAACCCTCCTCGAGTTTTATGAAGTAGTTGCCTAATAAGTATTTAATTGACTTTTCAAAAAATATATATACTGTTATTAAGTTGGTTTGGGACAGTAAAATCACAGCATGGACCTCAAAGGATGACTGTGGGTAGGAACCAGGGAGAATGTTCTAGAATGCCACAAATGTGTCTACTGATGTAATATGGGCTTTTTATGGCCTGATCAAAATTACCTTATGATGTGAAATATTGGAGTTTGGGTGATTGGATTTTGTTTTTCCTTTATGCATTGTCCAGGAAGATGATGTGGAACAGCCATTTAATGACAGTGGCTGTCTTCTTGTGGATAAAGACCTTTTTGAAACTGGGCTGGAGGAGGAGGAGGAGGAAAATAACTCTGCATTGGAAGATGAAGAGTCATTAGAATCGATAAGGGCAGCTGTGAAAAACAAAGTAAAAAAGCACAAGGCAAGTAGATGATGGCAAAAGAGCTAACCTACTGCTTCTAACCTTTGCTTTATTTTCTAATTTACTGTTGGAACCTTTTTTTTTAACTGAAAAAAAAATGTGGCAATTGATTTAAGTTTTTTGGCTGTTAATTTTGGAATTAGGCAGTACAGGTGATAGACATGCTAACTTGTGTGGAAGCTAGTATTTTTTTTTTTTTAAGATTTTATTTATTTATTAGAGAGAGATCGTGAAAGAGAGAGCATGAGCAGGGGGTAGAGGGAGAAGCAGGCTCCCCGCCAAGCAGGGAGCCCGACATGGGGCTCGATCCCAGGACCCTGGGATCATGACCTGAGCTGAAGGCAGACGCTTAACCAACGGAGCCACCCAGGTACCCCAAGGATCTAGTATTATGACTGCCTTCATAGGAATGTTAGGGGAAAAAAACGTGAGATACTTTATATTGCATAAGAAGCAGGTAAGTAATGGGGCAGAGATACAAATTTTATAATCCTGTGGCCTCTATGAAATGAACCTAAAGTGTTTCTGGAAAGGTATCAAAGAGAAACAACAGTCAAACATCATTGTCCTGAGTGTTTGGAAGCATAGTTGTTCTGTTCTTGCTAAGATTATCTTTAGTTCCCTGGGAGTCATTGTCCCTCCTTAGGGAAAGATATAATAAAGAAGTGTAAGAAATGAGAGCCCAAGCTCCATTTGAGACAGCAAATTTTTTTCTAGGCTTTATATGGATGCTGTAGGTTTAAAACTTTCTATTTGATAATTATTGGCTTGTTATTAACAATGATGTGATGTTGGGATACAGAAGCAATCTTTTGAGTAAGCAATATCCTGTTATTTCAGTTTAATTTTTTTTTTTTAAGATTTTATTTATTTATTTGACAGAGAGAGACACAGCGAGAGAGGGAACACAAGCAGGGGGAGTGGGAGAGGGAGAAGCAGGCTTCCTGCAGAGCAGGGAGCTCGATGCGGGTTCGATCCCAGGACACTGGGATCATGACCTGAGCCGAAGGCAGATGCTTAACTGACTGAGTCACCCAGGCCCCCCTTTTTTTAAGATTTTATTTATTTATTTGACAGACAGAGAGAGCACAAGTAGGCAGAGCGGCAGGGAGAGGGAGAAGTAGGCTCTCACTGAGCAGGGAGACTGACATGGGGCTTGATCCCAGGACCCTGGGATCATGACCTGAGCTGAAGGCAGCCGCTTAACCGACTGAGCCATCCAGGCACCCCTAATTTTTTAATAAAATATTTATTTATTTCCTTTAGAGAGAGAGAGAGAGAGTGATCAAGCTAAAGTGGGGGGAGGGGCAGAGAGAATCCCAAGCAGACTCCCCGCTCATCATGGAGCCCCACACAGGGCTGGATCCCATGACCCATGAGATCATGACCTGAAATCGTGAGTTGGTTGCTTAACTTACTGAGCCACCAAGGCACCCCTTCAATTTAATTTTTGTCCATGTTTTTCACCTTGTAATCTTCTCTTTTAGAAAAAGGAACTGTCTTTGGAGGGTGGGGTATGTCCATTTGAAGAAGAAACTGAGTTATCGAAAGGCACCATAAGGAAGGTGAGATGGAGCTCTCTATAACTGTCATGTTGATTTCTTTCCCCAGGAGATTGTGAATTTCTGAGGGATAAATATTTTATCATGTCTATCATATTTTCCTGGTACCCAAGATATTGCTTTGTACATAGTAGGCACACAAATATGGATTTTGTTGAGTTAATTCTATATGATATGCAAAATAAATTATCTCCTTGAGTTTATATTGTACTGAACTTATTAGTGCTTACTTTTCTTTCTCCATCCTCTTTTCTTGAAGAGGGCAAACTCTTGAAGCATGAATATCTTTCTGGATAATAGCATTAATGCAGTCTCACTTTTTGTTTTCTTTAAGGAAAGGAAGGCAGCCAGATTAAGTAAGGAAGCATTAAAAAAACTGCATAGTGAAACTCAGCGCCTTATTCGAGGTAATGTAAACCACTATAGTAACTTTAAGGCAAATCACAATAGTTCTTCATAAGCTCACCTTAGCTGTTGGGGATTTTTTTTTTTTTTTTTAAGATTTTACTTATTTGAGAGAGAGGGAGCGCCTGCATGAGTGGGGGGTGGGGCAGGGGGAGAAGCAGACTCCCCACTGAATAGGGAGCCTGACACAGGGCTCGATCCAGGACCCTGAGATCACAACCTGAGCTGAAGGTAGATGCTTAACCAACTGAGCCACCCAAGCGCCGCTAGATTTTTTTTTTTTAATTTCTACACCAAATGTGGGGCTTGAACTCAGGACCCCAAGATTAAGAGTCACATGCTCTTCCAACTGAGTTAGCTGGGTTCCCCAAGAGGGATTTTTGTGTTTTTAACACTCCTAGTATGAATTATAATAATCAAGTTTAGAGTTGATCTTGGTGAATGGCCATTGTTCTAAAGTCCCTCGAACATTAGCATAAACAGAAAATTTCCAGAACTGTATTAGTGGTAAGGAGGGAGAGGTTTTTTTAATGGTTTTCTATGGACCGGCTGTATCAGGATCCCTTTGGGAACATTTCAAATGTGTAAGTTCTTAGGTCCACAGAAATTCTGATTCAATTGGCTCGAAGTGGGGTCCAAGAATCTGTATTTTTTTAAACTTTTTTTTGAGAGGGAGAGAGAGCATGAGGCGGGTAGGGGTTGTGGGGGAGGGAGGGGCAGAGGGAGAGAGAGAGAAGCAGAATCTCTACTGAGGACACTGGGATCATGACTTGAGCTGACAGCAGATGCTTAACCCACTGAGCCACCCAGGCACCCCAAGAATCTGTATTTTTATTTTTATTTTTTTATTATTTTTTAAAGATTTTATTTATTTATTTGACAGAGAGAGACACGGTGAGAGAGGGAACACAAGCAGGGGGAGTGGGAGAGGGAGAAGCAGGCTTCCTGATGAGATGCGGGGCTCGATCCCAGGACCCCGGGATCATGACCTGAGCCGAAGGCAGATGCTCAATGACTGAGCCACCCAGGTGCCCCAAGAATCTGTATTTTTAAAAAACTTCCTGGATTAGTTTGATTTCACAACTAGGTTTAAAAGCCACTGGTCGGGACACCTGGGTGGCTCAGTTGGTTAAGCGGCTGCCTTCGGCTCAGGTCATGATCCTAGGGTCCTGGGATCGAGTCCCACATCGGGCTCCTTGCTCAGTGCGGAGTCTGCTTCTCCCTCTGCCTGCCACCCCCCCGTTTGTGCTCTCTCTCTCTCTGACAAACAAATAATTAAATCTAAAAAAAAAAAAAAAAAAAGCCACTGGTCTTCAGGGAGTTCTTTTGTACTTAGATCCTGTCTTTATTAAAGCCAGATTGCTTTCTGTTTCTGGTGATGTCTTTCACTGTACTGTTTAGTTAACTGAATATCAAGTGACGTTTCAGAATATACAGTATATGTATTTGCTTGTTTTGTTCCATTTTATAGAGTCTGCACTTAATCTTCCATATCATATGCCTGAGAATAAAACCATTCATGATTTCTTCAAACGTAAACCCCGACCCACTTGCCAGGGAAATGCCATGGCACTACTGAAGTAAGAACTCTATTTCCTTGTGATTATAATTTTTGTAAATATTCAGTTTTGTAACAAACATCTGATGTAAAAAGTTCAGATTCTTCCCTCTCGTAAAACCGATTTAACTGATATCATTATGTGCTGATATGAGAGTTTCACACTTAGGGTAATTTTCAACTTCAGCTCATTTTCCCTTTTCTAGGTCATCTAAGTATCAGTCAAGCCATCCCAAAGAAACCACGGACACTGCAAATACAAGTGAGAAGAATAATGACCACCATAGCAAAGATTCTGATCAGACAACAGGTGCAGGATATGAAATGGAAATTAATGCACTCCCTGAAGCTTTACAGGAACCCCAGATCACAACTGGATCAGATGAGTCTTGCAGTAAGGATTTGATGGGAAGTGAAGAACAAGAAATTCAGGAGAAACAGAAGCAGAGTGATGATAGACCTTTACCCGAGGACAGCTCCGTGGCACAACAGGAATCCAGCTTCCTTGGGAAGGAGGACAATGAGGAGTATCAGGCCGGAGGGCTTGTGGCACCTGAACTTCATGCTCTGGAGGGAGAAGAAGGCCTGAAGAAAACAGAAGAAGCAGATGAGAAGGTGGAGGAGCCCGGGCAGCAAACTAAATCAATAATTGTGCCACCTGAAAAAGCGAGGAGGTTCACTCTGGATAGACTGAAGCAACTGGGGATAGATGTTTCCATTAAACCTCGACTGGGTGCTGATGAGGATTCCTTTGTGATACTTGAAGAACCTGAAACCAACAGAGGTAATCCTTTGAATTGTGGGACGCCTCCAGAGTAATTTATTCTGGCACCTTTCTATTATTTGCTACTATGGAGGATAGGGGGAACCCAGGAGGAACCCGTAACCACACATGATCCTATTCTGTAGATGTACCACATATGGGTAAAATTCTATTTAGATAAATTTGGCAGGGCATCAGTGTTCTCAAGCTTGTTTAAAATGGAAGCCTGTTGACAGGTTAGTATACAAAAAAGGTGCATCGCTGTTGTATTATGGTATGACATTCAAAAAAGCATTATTCATTTTTTCACCGTTAAAGGGAAACATTTTGGTTCAGTAAATTGTCTGCAAAACTGAATTTCTTTTTTCCCCGACTCATTTAACAAATATTAAGCTATCCACGACATGCCAGGTTCTGTAGGGCATACCAAGAGCAATCTGACATTTATCGTACATTTAAGCTACTTACACTCTTGTAGGGGAGATAAGTATGCAAATAACAGTAATGCAAGAGAGAAGGTGGAAAGTGACATCTATAATGAACGTGTGTCACTGATGATTGGAAAAAATGAAGGAAAGGGAAAAGTAGTCTTTGCTGAAGGAAACATTTAGAATAAAGTGCTGTGGCAGTTTTGAGGAAGAATTAATTTCTTCCAATAGGTGATTAAAAGAAGGCTTGAAGAGTAGGTGGATGTAATTACTTGTTCATTGCCTTTCCCTTTATACTGTGAATAGGGATCTCCTGGCTTATTCCCTACTCTATCACCAGTGCTTCCACAGTGGATGACGTATTACAGGCGTTTATATTGGATGAGGGAATGAATGAATGATCTTTCAAGACAGTTCAAATATTACCATATTAGGTAGACTTTCTGACTAGTAGGTAGAATTGGGTGTTCCCTCCTCTGAATTGAGGCAGTATGGCATGATAATTAAGAGCTTAGGCTCTGTAGCAAGACCAAGGTTTGAATCTGGACTGTGCTTTCCTTGTGATTATAATTTTTGTAAATATTCAGTTTTGTAACAAACACCTGATGTTCCCCCCACTGACAAGAGAATTCCTTGCTCAACCATAGTTCTGTCACCAGCAAATATGAAGTTTAACTGTTTAACCTTGAGTGTGCTATTTGACCTCTCGAGCCATCTTTTTTTAAGGAAAAAAAAAAGAATATCCAGTTCGCAGGGCTATAGTGAAGATGTGTTGAAATAAGGCATAGAAATAGATAGCATAAGGAAGCACTCAAATAGTGGCTCCTACTTCTATTATTAGTGAAATTACTTACATCATAACCATAATAACTTATGGTTGGCAGGTGCTCTTTTCATCCACAGTATCTAGTGTGTAAATTATGCCCAGTGAGTCTTTGCGGATTGAAGGGATGGGTTTTTGGAAGTGGAGAGGACATTCTTGGAAGGGACAGAGCAAGCTCTGCATGGTGCATATGGGGAGGATGGATAAGTCCGTTTGACCAGAGCAAGAACCAGCATAGCTCCATTAGCAAAGAAGCAGGGGAATAAGCTGTTGCCCAGAACACGGAGGGAAAGTTTCGTGATGTGGGACTAGAAGTTATCTAAACAGTCCCAGAGTAAGAGAGGGGGGAAGAAACATCTCTTAAATACTTAAAATACTAACTCCTGTGAGGTTTTTTTTATTTGGGATTTGAAGCTCTCTAAATGGTTCTGGACTGAGACAGGAAAGGGAAGAAACCTTTTTTTTTTTTTTTTTTTGAGCACCTAGTACATCAGACACTGATAGATTCTCTATTATTCTTAATTCTCACAGCCCCAGGTATTATTTTGCAGTGAAGAGACGGAGGCTTGGAGAGGTTGGGTCATTTTTCCAACATTACATTTGGCTTATATAGGGAACTAGCACAGTGCCTGGCACGTCATAGCCTTTATTTTTAACTCAAAATATGTTTTCCTTCAGAAATAGTATTTGACGTGAAAGTTGGGTTTCCATGTCAGCCAGTTCCATGTGTATGAACAAGGATCGACTTTTATTTATCCGGGCAATAAACTTTTTTCTAGCATCGTGTCGGATGCTGTGTACACAAGACATAGTCCCTGCTCTCAAGGAAGTTAAAGTCTAGTAAGAGTGACAGGCAGGCACACAGATCATTACAACACAACTGGATGGTAAGGGCTGGGTATACTCTGAACTTGGAGGAAGGGTACCTTCCTTGGAATACCTCGTGGGGAGTCAGGGAGGCTTCTGAAAGGAACCGATACCAGAGCTGAGTCCTGAAAGCCGAGTAGGAGATACTAAGGCAGAGAGGTGAGGGAGGGCATTCTTGGTGGAGGGAACAGACCCAGTGGTGACAAGAGAGAACACTGGGTGTTCTGGCGAACTGGAGTGAAGATTGCAAAGGCATTGAGGATGGGTAACTAGAGGCCAGATCTCGCAGGGCTTTTAGGCCATGGGAGGAGCTTTACTTGCGCCTTTTGTTAGCAGAGGACCACTGACAGATTTTTAGCAAAGGAAATGACCTAATCGGATAGTCATTTTGGGAAGTTCAATCTGGTGGCTAGTAGGGTGGACAGGGGAAGGGGTTAAGAGTAAAAGCAGTAGGAACAGCTTAGTTTCCTTAACCTCACATAGAATAAAGTTTCCATGAGAAAAGACACGTAGATCTCAACTTTGGGGTGCCAGAAATGTAGGACTCCTGCTTCCTGCAATAGTGTAGGTAATAATCTCTGCCCTTAATTCCTCTACTTTCTGGACTAAGAACAATGGGAATGAGAACAGTTTTAGATTCAAGCTGCTGGTGGTGGAGACCTGAGCTGGAGCAGACATGAATGGAGCTGGACAAAGACTGATGGAGGGAGAGGAGCTTGAACAGGGATTCTAGGGTGAGGGGGGAGGTGGTTGAGTCATGTAGTAAAAGGCAAGGAAAGTAGGTGCCCAGGTGCGTTGGAGATGAAGAGCTTTAAGGAGCCTGACTTTCTCCAGAAGAATGAAGGCAACTCCTCTGCCTCACTATTATTTTAGGTCCCAAGCAAATCTTCCTCCACATCCATTTGTTTTATTCCTTTGGTGCCAATAATGACCTGCTCATTTCTGTTACCTTTCCACATCCATTTCCCCATTGCTTCCTGCCTTACTGAACTGCTATAAAAGCGGGTGCAAACTTACATCTTCTCTCCCTACACGTCTGTTTGTCATGTAAACATACTATCCTTTGGAGCTGGGTTTTTGCTACTAATAATGCTAGGGACTCAGAATGAAAAGGTTTCCTTCCGGTTCTTCTGTTCCCTTCAAGGGAAGGAAAAACCACATCTAGATGCTAACCCCAAAACTACTAAAATACAATTCGAGTGCGTTTTAGAAGAAGAACCAAACTTGGAGTGTTCTGCACATTTTATATGGAAGAGAAGGCACGTGGAGATATCTAGATCCCTCAACCCCAAAGGAATCTTTTCTCTTTATAACTGTCAGCTCTCTTAAAACAACCCACTATGGTATGATGTCTTAAACAGAGGCATTAGGTGATGGTACCAGGTAGCAGCTAGCTAAGGGGGGAAGAAATTCTGAGCTACTGTAGCAATGGGGAAGTGGGGAGAGGCCCTACTTGCCGTTGGACCACTGAACTTACTGCTCCCAATATATATATTCCCCTTTGCATACAAGTTGGGTATGTGGTATACCTGTAAGTAGGCCACCTGTAAGTAGGATTTCCTTCCTGATGATACTGATTATGCTAGTATTACAGTTTCACCAACAGACTTTTCCAGTCCTGCTGCTGAGTTACATCACTGACTGGATGGATTGTAATTTTTTTTTTCCTCTTTTTAAATTGACCTTGCCCATATTTAGTAAGATTGCTAATTAATAGTGAAATGTTCAAAATAGGGAAATTTTAAAAAAGAGGCTGGAATCTATGAAAAATTAAGCCATTGAATGACTGATAATTATGGTGTTGGTTCTATCAGTGTAATACTTTTTTTTAAGAATTGTGTACATTTATCTGAAACTAATAATACATTATATGTTAATTGAATTTGAATTTTAAAAATGAAAAAAAAAGAATTGCATACATTTAGAGACTTCAATTGTAAATTTCTACCCTAAAATGATTTTTTTAAAAGATTTTATTTATTTATTTGACAGAGAGATAGAAAGCACAAGAAGGCAGAGCGGCAGGGAGAGGGAGAAGCAGGCTCCCCGCTGAGCAGGGAGCCCAATGCGGGACTCGATCCCAGGACCCTGGGATCATGACCTGACCCGAAGGCAGACGTTTAACCAACTGAGCCACCTAGGTGCCCCTACCCTAAAATGATTTTTGAAGTATACTGAGGAAGAACAATTGCAACATTTCATTAGTTTGGTTAAGTTACATGAATATGAATTTGACATAGGTGTTAGTAGCAAAGGAGTCTTTGGTGTCTTTGGGTGTTCTTTTTCCCGCTGCGACTTTGTTGAGCTTAAAAACTTAGCTTATGGGACGCCTGGGTGGCTCGGTCGGTTAAGCGACTGCCTTCGGCTCAGGTCATGATCCTGGAGTCCCGGGATCGAGTCCCGCATCGGGCTCCCTGCTCGGCGGGGAGCCTGCTTCTCCCTCTGCCTGCCTCTCCCCCTGCTTGTGTTCTGTCTCTCTCTCTCTCTCTGACAAATAAATAAATAAATAAATCTTAAAAAAAAAAAACAAAAAAAAAACTTAGCTTATGATTCTTAACTGGAATCTTAAAGGAAAGAGTTTAAGCAAGGCGAACTGACACACTGGTTGGTCTTTGGATCTAGAACTGGAAGCCTTGAAACAGCGTTTCTGGAAGCACGCCAACCCAGCGGTCAAGCCCAGGGCTGGTCAGAAGGTGAATGTGAACATCATAGTGAAAGACGTGGACACTGATGGCAGGGAAGAGCTGAAGGCAGATGTGGTACCTGTGACTTTGGCAGCTGAGAAGCTGGATGGAGCAAGCCACACAAAGCCAGGTATTTGAGTTCATGTTTTTGTTTGTTTGATTCCTCACACTTTGCACTCTGGCAGGTCTTTATGGCTACTGAAGACCCTGTAGTAAAAAGTTCTAGAATCTCTTTCCTTGGACACTTTGGAGATTGGATAGCAGTACCTGTGGCATGATTCACATGAGCATTGCTTAGATGTGTGGGGTGGGTAAGATGACTTTATTTCCAATTGTCTTTGTCTTATTATAAAAAACAATAAATAAAGGTGCCTGTCTGGCTCAGTCGGAAGAGCGTGCAACTCTTGATCTTGGGGTTGTGAGTTTGAGTCCCCCATGGGGTGTAGAGATTACTTAAATACATAAAAAACTTCAAAAATCAATACATTACTTAAAAAATAAAAAACTATAAATATCCATTGTAGGAAATACAAAGAAAGAATAAAGAAAAAGCTTCTACGATCCTCCATCAGAGACACCTATAACTATATTGTGTATCCTTTTTTTAAAAAAAGATTTTATTTATTTTAGAGAGAGAGCATGGGCACAAGCTGGGAGAGGGGCAGAGAGAGAGAGAGGGAGAGAGAATCTCAAGCAGACATCCTGCTGAGCACAGAGCCCCACACGGGGCTTGATCTCACAACCCTGAGATCATGACCTGAGCCAAAATCAAGAGTCCATCACTTAACCGTCTGAGTCACCCAGGCATCCCTATTATGTATCCTTTTAATCTCTCTTTGCATGCTTGTATGTATATGTTTTTAGAAACAAACAATAATGTGATCATACCATGCATTCTGATTTCTAATCTACTTTTTTGTTTTAACAATGTCTGTTGTCCCCACTTCCACTTGGAAAGTACAATTAATATATCACATAGAAAAAAATTAAGACACTGTGGAAAATGTATGAAATGGAAAATTAGTCTTCCTAAAGACAGCTCTTGACAATTTCTTGTGTATCCTAGGAAGAAAATTCATATACATACACCAGAGTGTATGTATGTGTGAGAGAGAGAGACGGACAGACAGACATTGGATACTCACTCTCTGCCAGGCACTGCTCTAGGTACTTTACCTAGTACCTAGATATAGGATATAAGGATACTGATAACATCAGTATCCTTATTTTATATATGAGGAAACTGATATACAAAGCATTTAAACAACTTGCTCAAGTTTACACAGCCTGTGAGTAGTAGAACCAGCAGCCTAATCCAGACCTCCTAACTTCAGAGCTCAGATACACATTATATTGTTCTTGAGGTTTTTTTTACCAGCTGCATAATATTCCATTGTGTGACTGTAACATGATTTGTTTAACCATACTCCTGTTAATGGACATCTTGTTTATTCCAGTTTTTGGCATCTCATGTTGCACCCCCGTATCAGGTATATGTTGGTGTATCTGGATGTAGAATTCCTTTCTTTTTTTCCTTTAAACATTTTATTTATTTATTTGACAGAGAGGGAGAGAAAGAGCACACAAGCAGGGGAACAGCAGAGGGAGAGGGAGAAGCAGGCTCTCCGCTGAGCTGGGAGCCTGATGTGCGGCTTGATCCCAGGATGCTGGGATCATGACCTGAGCTGAAGGCAGTCAGTTAACTGACTGAGCCACCCAGGAGCCCCTGGATGCAGAATTCCTTACAGTGGAATCATTGAGTCAAATTTTGATATATATCATCCCATTGTCCTTTAAAATAGTTGTACAAATTTACACTCTGAATCACAGTTTGTAAGAGTTCCTGTTTCTTCTTGTTCATAAGAGATACTATCAACCCTTCTAATTTTTGCCAATATGTCAAAAATGGTATCTCTTATTTTGATTTGTATCTCTTTAATTACAAATGAGGTGAGGGGTGCCTGACTGGCTCAGTCAGTGGAGCATGTGACTCTTAATCTTGGGGTTATGAGTTCGAGCCCCATGTCGGGTGTAAGAGTACTTAAAAATAAAATCTTAAAAAGAGAGAGAAATGAGGTTAATAAGCATTACTTTTGTTTATTAACCACATATGTTCATTTTTTCTTTGAACATACCCTTTGCCCATTTTACTCTTGAGTTGTTTCTTTTATTCTTTAATATTAATGTTGGAGCACCTGGGTGGCTCAGTCGTTGAACGTCTGCCTTCGGCTCAGGTCATGATCTAAGCGTCCTGGGATCGAGCCCCGTGTCGGGCTCCCTGCTCAGAGGGAAACCTACTTCTCACTCTCCCACTCCCCCTGCTTGTGTTTCCTCTCTCGCTGTCTCTCTCTGTCAAATAAATAAATAAATCTTAAAAAAAAAAAAGACTATGTAATCTGTGAGTAGATGTAGTTTTGCTCCTTATTTGTTAAGATAACAAAAGCCTGGAGTACTAAGGTCTCTGATTTTCCTTTGGGGATGTGACTAGAACATTTCTGGAGTTGCCTGAAATGCACGCTTCCATGATTGCAATAGGTAGTCGGTCATTGTGTCTACAGCATTTCTTCATATTTCTGTTCAGGTGAAAAGCTTCAGGTGCTGAAAGCCAAACTACAGGAAGCGATGAAACTCCGTAGGCTTGAGGAACGCCAAAAGCGCCAAGCATTATTTAAGTTAGATAATGAAGATGGATTTGAAGAAGAGGAAGAGGAGGAAGAAATGACGGATGAGTCGGAGGAAGATGGAGAAGAGGAGGGAGAGGGAGAGTTAGAGCAAGAAGAGGAGGAAGAGAGAGATTTAGAGCAAGAAGAGGAGGAAGAAGGCAATCAGGAGGTTCTGACAACTATTTAATTTTGTTACCTGGTCAGGATGGGTAAGGGAAAGAGAAAATCAGATGTGAATAAGAGTAGAGTAAGCATGTTCAATCGTGTAAGAGATTTTAGGGGCAGAGATGACGTAAGTAGCTCAGAGGTACCGTAGTCCTAGTGCATTCAGTTCCGTCAGTGACTTTGGCTACTGGCCGTTCGTGGGGCCCTAGGCTTGGCCTCTACCTGTTAATCTACTTATTGAAATATATGACTAAAATGGAAACAGCTTTGTATTCATAGATGCTTTTTTTTTTTTTTTTTTAAGATTTTATTTATTTATTTGACACAGAGAGACACAGCGAGAGAGGGAACACAAGCAAGGGGAGTGAGAGAGGGAGAAGCAGGCTTCCCGCCGAGCAGGGAGCCCAATGTGGGGCTCGATCCCAGGACCCTGGGATCATGACCCGAGCCGAAGGCAGATGCTTAACCAGCTGAGCCACCCAGGCGCCCCCTTAGATGCTTTTATCTTTGTTGTGTATGTAGTTTTCTCTATTCAGAATGAACAGTAGTCTTAACCTTGATCAGGTGGAGGTCTAGAATAAGTTCTCAGGCAGGCTGAGATCTTCCTGAGTTTCTTTCTTTGCTAAGGAGGGTAATTGTAAAAGGGCCTCTTACTCTTGTTCCACAGTATTGTTTTCTGCCTAGGTAAGATAGATGATGATAGGGTTTTGGGTATTTTGAAAAAGAAAAAAGCCACCAAAATAATAAATAATAGAAAAGAAAAAGAAAAGCCCCCGTGTTGGAACTCTGAAGTCACTGCGAGAGTTGGCTCATATTTATCCCTGGGTCAAGAAAGAAGGGAGTCTGAATGTCTGAACTGGGCTGCCTGTCACAGTCTGTTTTTGGTCTGAGGCTGCTAGTTGTCCCTCAGTCTCAGGCTAATTATTTAACCCCTCACTGCCTCAATAAAATGATAATCCAGTCTTCTTTCACAATCTTGTAGCAAGTTGGGGAGGGTAAAAGGTAAAATAAGTATAAAAGAGCTCTAGAAGTGTCAGGAAAAGTTATGTTGCTGCTAACGGTTAGACCAAGCTTCCTTTAGGTTTACCTTTTCAGATCTAAGATGTGACCTGTAACCAAGCAGCCATATATCAGGCTAACAGCATATTTGCTTTTAAATTTTTTGTTCTGGGGCGGTGTGATTGGTGAAGATTGCAGAATTCCTTCTCAGTAGTGAAGAAATGGAAACCAAAGACGAGAAAGAAATGGAGAAAGACAACAGTGACGGCAGTAGTAACATTGGCAAGTCAGTTGGCCTTCTCTCTGTCCCCAAACCTCTGTCATCCGATTCTACCTTACTTCTGTTTAAGGACCACTCTTCCAAGATGGGGTAAGTAATTCTCTCTAGGGAAAGATAAGATTCCCTTGCGTTTGCCCCTCTCAGAAGAAGCAGAAACATGGGCTCCTGGGTGGCTCGGTCTGTTAAGCGTCCGACTTTTGATTTCTGCTCGGGTCGTGATCTCATGGGTCATGGGATGGAGCCCCGTGTCTGGCTCCAGGCTCAGCAGGGAGTCTGCTTGGGATTCTTTCCCTCTTCTTCTCCCTCTGCCCCTCCCCTCATTTGTGTGTGTTCAGACTCTCTCTCTCTCAAAAAAATAAGTCTTAAAGAAAAAAAAAGCAGAACCAGATAAAACAACTTACCTTCTTGTTTTGTAGTTACTTTCCTAGTGAAGAAAAATCAGAAACAGATGAAATCTCAGGCAAAAGGTCTAGCAAACTGGGTAAGTAGTAACTCCTACACAGAACTTTTCTTAGCTCCTCTAACTTTGGTACTTCAGGACTACAATTCCATAAGATTCCATTTTTTTGAACTCTAGTAGACTTTTCTCAGTCTCCCCTGTGGCAATGAAAGGAATCTATGAGTTAGAAAATTCTTCTGAAAGGAATTTACGAATTAGAAGATTTTTCTTGGTTCTGTTTTTGAAAACTTACATTCAGTTTCCTTACAGTTGACCATGGACATATAATAGGTCCTTAGTAGTGTGTGTTGATTAAGTGAACCGTGAAACATTTCTGTCATATGTAGATGAAAGGAAGATGTATATGTGAGTGGATAATGGGGAGAGTGATCATAGGCGTTAGGCAGGGTGAGAGAAAGATGGGAACTTTCAGGTGTCACTTAGCTCAGTGATAAACCTCGATGGTATAATGCTAGTTAGTACTATAATTTACCTTCAACTTCATGTTTTAGAACATATAACTTGAGAGGTTTGCCTATGAATGTTACCTGACAGTTTCATTCTCAATTCTTTGTCCTAAACAGATCCACCTTATTTCTGGAATCATGTACTTAGAAGTTATTTCTCTTTCCTTAGATGAAGATGATTCATGCTCATTGCTAACAAAGGAGAGCAGCCACAATAGCAGCTTTGAGCTGATTGGCTCCACGATTCCATCCTATCAGCCTTGCAATAGACAGACAGGCCGTGGGACCAGTTTTTTCCCTACAGCAGGAGGATTCAGATCTCCTTCCCCTGGGCTATTTCGAGCCAGTTTGGTCAGCTCAGCTTCTAAGGTAAGATGGTAATTGTTTTCTAATCTCCTCCCCCTTTTACTTCCCACACTGCTAAATTAAGTGTGTCCAAGCCAACCAACTCCCACCACATTATGTATGTTCACTTTAAAGAAACCACCCCCTTTGTGTATTAAAAACAAGCCTCATCCAGTGTTCTTACTTTCCTGAAAATGTTTTTCTTTATTCCTCTCTTGGCTATGCATTGTCCTCCTCAATTGCAATTGCCTGAGAGTAGATAAAATCCTGCAAATAGCAACTTCTGTTGTTGTCATGACAGTGAATGACAATTATAAAATGTTTTGTTTTTGTTTGGTTTTGTTTTGGTGCCAGAGTTCAGGAAAGCTGTCTGAGCCTTCACTTCCCATCGAGGATTCCCAGGATCTGTATAACGCCTCCCCAGAGCCTAAGACACTTTTCCTAGGAGCCGGAGACTTCCAGTTTTGTTTAGAAGATGACACTCAGAGCCAACTGTTGGATGCAGATGGGTAGGTAGTTTTATGTTTCTGTGGGTGGGATGGTGCTGGGTACTGCTTAATTTGTTTAAAAATAAAGTGAGCTTCTGTTGCTCCATCTGTGCTTTCTCTTCTGAGAAAGAGAAGGTGTACAGACCATTAGTATTACATTCTGCAAGTTTGAACAAAGGCCCTCCAGAAAATAAAACGTAAATAGTCCTTGCTGGCATTCTGATCCTTCGATCTCTGCTTTACAGATCCGTGGCACATTACGTGGACATAACACCAAGTTCTACTCTGGCACTGGAACCAAAAATTATCCTTTACCCCTTTACCTTTCAAATAGCATTTATTCTTTTATTAAACTCCCTCCCTCTTTAGATTATCACAAGGCTACAGTCTTTTGGTTTGGAATTCAGCATTTTTTTTTTTTTTTAAGATTTTATTTATTTATTTGAGAGAGAGAACATGAGCGATGGGGAGGGGCATAGAGAGGGGGAGAAGCAGACTCCCTGCCAAGCAAGGAGCCCTACATGTGGCTTGATCCCAGGACCCTGAGATCATAACCTGAGCCGAAGGCAGATGCTTAACCAACTGAGCCACCCAGGCACCCCTGGGATTCAGCTTTTAAGTTAGGTTTTAGAAACATCCAATTTTTTTTCCCCATGGGACGCCTGGGTGGCTCAGTCGGTTAAACGTCCTACTCTTGATTTCGGCTCAGGTCATGATCTCAGGATCGTGAGATCAAGCCCTGCCTTGGGCTCCAGGCCGGGCATGGAGCCTGCCTAAGACTCTTTCTCTCTCCCTCTGCCCCTCCCCCCTTCTTAAAAAAAAAAATCCTCTTTAGATTTTTTTACCTACTACTTTGTTTTTACCCCTAGAGAATTTCTTATATTCTTCATTGTGTTTGTAGGTTCTTAAATGTTAGAAACCACAGGAATCAGTACCAGGCTTTGCAGCCTGGCTTGCCATTGGCCAGTATGGATGAGAATGCCATGGACGCTAACATGGATGAACTATTGGATCTGTGTACCGGAAAGTTCACATCTCAAACTGAAAAAACTCAGCCCAGGAAGAATGACAAGAAAGAGAACCTGGAGGAACTTCTGAATCTTTGTTCAGGAAAATTCACTTCTCAAGGTAAATAGCCAACAGAGAAAATCGGGCTCACCACAGCCAAATATCTTAAGTCAGTGTCTTTGAAAAGAAGCCTGTTACCCGTGGGTGAAAAGTTCGCAGAAAACAGGGCTGTGCTGGATTCTTGTGTATAGGCTGAATTCTTAGCTTCCTGACATTTGGAGCCCTGACTTCCTTAAGGTGGTAAAACGTCAACTTAAGCTTCAGCTTTTGCCATGCGATTTCTCATTTATGGTTAATATGCGTGCAAAGCTTAGAAGAGTGTTAGAGGACAGTTAATTTCATATTAATGCCTACTTGTTTCCACTTGCGTGTTCCATTCTCCCCGATGCTAGAATGTCAGCTCTATGTGAGCTGGGATTTTTGTTTTGTTCACTACCGTATCCCTTGTGCCTGGCACATAGTAAGCACCAAATAAGGATTTGTTGAATGAATGGATCTTTTTGGCAAGCTTACCTTAGAACTGTATTGAGCTGGGGAAAGAGGACAAAGCTGTTATTTCTTGGTGACAAATCTTTTTCTTTGTTGTAATATAGATGCCTCTACTCTGACTCCATCAGAGTTAAATAAGCAGGAGAAGGAGAGCAGCTTGGGGGATCCAATGGAAGAAGCACTTGCTCTTTGCTCAGGTTCTTTCCCCACAGACAGGTGAGTCTCAGTGATTGGAGGGAACGTAGGAAGGCCCAGTCTTCTGATAAAATCCTGAGGTCAGCAATAAGGAACCATCTTAGGGGCTTCCTATCCTGTCTGAGAGTCTTGCAGTACGTTTGAGTCTCGTTTGCAAAGTAAGGAAATTACAGTGATTTCCTTTGGTTGGTGGAGAACAGGGTTAAAGAAAGCAAGCAAGAATATGGAGCGCCTGGGTGACTCAGTCGGTTAAACGTCTGACTTGGGCTCAGGTCATGATCTCAGGGTCCTGGGATTGAGCCCGGTGTCAGGCCCCGAGTTGGGCTCCATGCTCAGCATGGAGTCTGCTTCTTTCTCTCCCTTTGCCCCTCCCCCCATTTGTGCTTTTTCTCTCTCAAATAAATAAATAAAATCTTTAAAACAAAACAAAACAAAAACGGCAAGAATAGAAACCTAGAGCTAAAGCTGGGAGGCAGACAGTGCAGAGCACCAGGCACTGCTCATTCCTCTGGCTCTGATCCGCTGTTGTACCAAGGCTCCAGTCAGGCCTGTGTCTGCCTCCTTGAGTAGGCCAGGATCCCATCCAAGCAGCCCTCCTACAGCAGCTCCCTGCTCCAGGGGGCCTGACGGAGTTCCAGACCAGTGTTCTCTCCTGGGATGTTGCTGCGGCAGCCATGTTTATTTGTTTGTTTAAAGGATTTTTATTTATTTATTTGAAAGAGAGAGAATAAGCAGGGAGGTGGGGGAGAGGGAGAAGCAGGCTCCCCGATGAGCAGGGAGCCCAATGCGCGACTCGATCACAGGACTCTGAGATCATGACCTGAGCCAAAGGCAGACGCTTAACTGACCAAGCCACCCAGGCACTCCAGCAGCCACGATTATTGGTGCTGGGGCTACCACAGTTAGTGTGGTTGGTTCAGGGGCTGGCTCTGGAACAGTGTTTGCAGCTTCATCATTGGCTGTGCCAGGAACCCGTCTGTCAAGCAGCAGCTCTTCTGTGCCATTCTGGGCCTTCCCCTGTCTGAGGACAGAGGGCTCTTCTGTGGGATGGTCACCTTCCTCATTCTCTTCACCATGTGAGACTCCGCGGGGGTCGCCTACCTGTCCCTGCTGCTTCGACTTCAGGCCATGGCTGCTGTTAAAAGTGTGCTAAGCTTTACCATTAAACACAACATTTCTCTTTAAAAAAAAAAAAGGCAAATTAAAATATTTGTATGCGTGTATTTTTTTAAAAGTTTGTGCATGCACTTTACAGAGTAAATTAAATTCTATTTCATTTTTCAGATAACTTATAACCAATTACTATTTAGTGTTCTTTTAGAGAACACTAAAAATTCAAAGAATTATCAGTGATTGAAAATAATCAGTATAGGGACACCTGGGTGGCTCAGTTGGTTAAGCATCTGCCTTCAGCTCAGGTCATGATCCCAGGTGGGATCGAGCCCCACATCAGGCTCCCTGCTCCGCGGGGAGTCTGCTTCTCCCTCTGCCTGCCGCTCCCCCTGCTTGTGCTCTTGCTCTCTCTCTCTCTCTCTCTGACCCAAATAAATAAATAAAATCTTTTAAATAAAAAAAGAAAATAATCAATATATAGTTTAAGACTATATGTACTCAGATGTTTAAAACAGTCTTTGCATTTGACAGTAAGAATCAAAATCCCTTCAGTGTGCCTATGTCAGCTAATATGTGACCAGCAAGGAAAACTTTGGAAGTATTTATTAAATATTATACTATGGATATAGGCAAAAGTACAGGCTTTGCAATTTGGGATCTTGACGCTAAATTGTCAAATCCCCCTACACCAGAAATAAGGGACAGAAAAGCAACTATTTACCCATATTCTTAATCACTTTGAAGATGCATGAACTGAGCTCAGCTGCTTTGTTTACATATCTTACATACCCAGGCCTCTCCTGCAGCCAGATGCGCACTGCTGTCTTTTCTCACTCCTCTTTTAAAATAGGAATTAATATTTCCTGGAAGTTCAATTTGGTAACCCTCTACAACTTTAGGATATTTTGTCTAGATACAGTACTTTCTTCCCTGCTAGGGGCGTCACTGGAGCCCTTACCTGTGGGAAAGGAGGAGGAAGTCGAAAAGTTGCAAGTGGAATAGAAGATAGGCTTGATTGAGTTCATGATATTTGTCATGGGGTTTTCCCTAGCTGTGGAAAAACTCAGGCTAGTAAGCATTTCTCTGTTTAAAGTCCGACAAGGCAATTTGAAATAATTCATTGTTCTTACCCAATTTCTAAGTGCTCTTTTTCTTACCAAGCCTACTGTAATTGGGGGAAATGTCTGGGTACAAGTAAAACATTCTTTGGATCATGTTCAAAGCCTATTAACATTGTACCTAAAATGATAGGCCATTTTGCCTCATTTACTTGCCAAAATAGCCACTTTCTAAGTTAAGGAAATTTTGAGGTAGGCTTACAGCATTCTTGTTGTATTTCATTTTAGATTGTAAACTCGATGGCAGGGACACTATGTTGTTAATTGTGTTTTTACATAGCAACCATTGCAGTATACTCTTGGTGCTTAATAAATGTTCATAATTTTTTTTTTTTTTTTAAGATTTTATTTATTTATTTGACAGAGAGAGACAGCGAGAGAGGGAACATAAGCAGGGGGAGTGGGAGAGGGAGAAGCAGGCTTCCCGACGAGCAGGGAGCCTAATGCGGGGCTCGATCCCAGGACCCCGGGATCATGACCTGAGCCGAAGGCAGACGCTTAACGACTGAGCCACCCAGGCACCCCTAAATGTTCATAATTATTAAGAATAAAAAGGCAAGGGGCGCCTGGGTGGCTCAGTCGTTAGGCATCTGCCTTCAGCTCAGGTCATGGTCCTGGGGTCCTGGGATCAAGCCCTGCATCGGGCTCCCTGCTCCGCGGGAAGCCTGCTTCTTCCTCTCCCTCTGCCTGCTGCTTCCCCTGCTTGTACACTCTCTCTCTGTCAAAAATAAATAAAATCTTAAAAAAAAAAAAGAATAAAAAGGCAAGAATAAGCACATGAAAGTGTTCAACACTAATGATTAGAGAAATGCAAATCAAAACCACAATAAGATACTATCTCACACCCATTAGGATGGCTACTATTTAAAAAAAAAACCCACAAAATAACAAGTGTTTGTGAGGATATGGAGAAATTGGAACCCTTATCCACTGCTGGTGGGAATGTAAACTGTTGAAGCTTCTGTGGAAATCAGAATGGCAGTGTCTCAAAAAATTAAAAATAGAATATGATCCAGCAATTCCACTTTCAAGTATATTCACAAAAGAAGTGAAAACAGGGTCTCAGATATTTGTATACCCATGTTCATCATAGCATTATTCATAATGATCAAAAAGTGGAAGCATCCTGGGGTGCCTGGGTGGCTCAGTCGTTAAGCGTCTGCCTTCAGCTCAGGTCATGGTCCCGGGGTCCTGGGATCGAGCCCCGCTTTGGGCTCCCTGCTTGGCGGGAGGCCTGCTTCTCCCTCTCCCACTCCCCCTGCTTGTGTTCCCTCTCGCTGTGCCTCTCTGTGAAATAAAGAAATAAAATCTTTAAAAAAAAAAATGGAAGCATCCCAAGTGGAGAAACAAAATGTGGTAGACACACACACACACACAAAATGGATTAGTCATCCTTAAAAAGGAAGGAAATTCTGACACATGTGACAACATGAATGAACCTTGAGGACATTATGCTAGGTGAAATAAGCCAGTCCCAAAATACAAACACTGTAGGATTCCACTTAGATGAGGTACTGAGAGTAGTCAAATTCATAGAGACAGAAAGTAGAAGGGTAGTTGCCAGGAGCTGAGGGGAGGGAAGAGTGGGGAACTGTTGTTTAAAGGATACAGAGTTTGGGGGCACTTGGGTGGCTCAGTCAGTTAAGCGTCTGACTCTTGATTTCGGCTCAGGTCATGGTCTTAGGGTCTTGAGATCAAATCCCGCTTCGGGCTCTGCGCTGAGCATTGTGCTTATGTTATGTGTATTTTGTTTGTTTGTTTCCTAGGCAAAGAACTTTATTACCTTGTTTCAAACTTTATTCCCAGGCTTCTTCAGCTTAATTAGCTGCAGAGAATGAATTGTGTATAAGCAAAACCTGAAAAGAGCTGCAGTGTCCAAGGGGCTTGGGCTTAAAAATATTAGAGCTCTAGATTTTATCAGATCCATGAACAAAATTTTAAAAAGCAGTCATATAAAATAGCAGCTCCCAGTAACTTCAACTTCTTTAGAAGTTGACTCCATTCAGTTTGCTTCATTCTTGGAAGCTTCATCAAAATTCTCCACAAGATCTGGAACTTCATCATCATCCTCCTCCTCTCTGGTAGCAAGTAGTGCTTTTCCATCCACAGATTGTGTGGGCAGAGCTTCAGCCAGTCTTCTTCAACTAGTCAGACTGTCTGCACCAAGTTGGTTTAAGATCCTGGGTAGCATTTCTGTCAGCTGCTTTGTCTCAGCCTGGGCTGTGATGGTGAAAGTTCGCTGCTAGCGACGTCTGAACTTTGGGGTTGTTAGAGTGCATCACTGTTCCTTGGTTTGTGAACATAGTCACTTCTTCAATACCAGAGATACTGTTTACCCCTAACTTCTTTAAGGAGAACTGAAGTTTTTTATCATCTGCTGTAGCCGTTCTATGAACCACCTTCTTTGGACGAGCAGTTCCTTTCCCACCAATGCGCACTTGTGCTTGCAGTTTGGCGAGTTTCTCCTGGTTCATGATAGTTTCTTTTATTTTGTTGGATTGGAAATGGGGCCGCGAGGGGGAATAGGATTGGTGCTCAGGGTGTCTTGGGCGGGCCAGCTGAGATGCGGTGCCTTATGTTATGTGTATTTTATCACAAACAAATTTTTTTTTAAAGGCAAGGTATCTTGTTTCCTGTTTCTTAAAGAGATTGTTGGTGCCAATAAAATATTTTCAATTCCTAAGTTGGCTGAATCCTTGTAGTTTGCTTTCAACAACCTATTTATTGGTTTCTTGATTTGCACTTTAGGGAAGAAGAAGGTGAAGAGGAGGAATTTGGAGACTTTCGGCTTATCCCAAATGATAATGAGTTTGATAGTGATGAGGTGAGTTTGAAGGGAACAGAGTAATCCTAACTGAACTCCAGGTGTTGCTGCTGCTGTCTGTCTTTTTCCTAGTCTGAGTTGTTGAGAATTCTAAGTTTGGCATGTCATCCGAAGCCATTTCCTAGAATGAGATGTTTGGGCAGAAGTTTATTCCTGTTTTAGTTGAGGACACATTCTATTCTGCTTAACTCTTATGTGTGATACTCTGATTTTTCAGGATGAACACAGTAACTCTGCTAATGAAGATCTGGCCCTGGAAGACCATGAAGATGATGATGAGGAAGAGGTCCTGAAGCAGTCTGAGAGGTTGAAAAGGCAAATGTAGGTGTTATGTCCATTCCTTCCATTGCTAGAGAAAGTTCTCCTAATGGTTGAGTTGTAGCTTGCTACCGTTTTACCTAAGTCTGCTGGGTCTGTTGCTGTTAACAGACCTGGTCAACACAGATTAAATAAACCCCATTCACATGATATCTCTTGAGTCTTCAAAGATGGTTATGTACTCCCTTAAGTGAGTTCTGTACTAAATATCTCTAGTTCCTTCAGCTGTTTCTCACATGATGTTGCTTCCCGACTCCTCACGTCCTAGATATTCTCTTTATCCTCAGGTGTGGTCTGACTCCCGCTGTGGGTAGCGGTACAACCATGATCTGGACGCACACTACTTGTAAAGTAACCAAAGATCATAAGAGCTGAGTCACTATATAGATCCTGAGGATTTAGTAGACAACAAAAATTCCTTGTCTAGGAGTAGGGTCTTTTTTCCTATGAATTACTGTCATTTCAGGTTTTCCTCATCCTAATGTTGGGCATATGACCTCCCGTTCATTTTTTTTTTAATGTTTCATTTTTCTGCTCATGAAAGTAAACCATTTATTTTAGAATATTTAAAAGAAGACAGAAAGCTACAAATAAAAATCATCTGTGTTCACCATCCAAGTATTTAATGAATGTGTGGATGGTAGATTGCTCCATAACCATTTTTATGCATATATTTTCATATAGTTGAGATCTGTGCAGGTTTGTTTGGGGTTTTTTGTATGTACACGTTTGTATCTTGCTTTTTTCTCACTTAGGATATCCATAAGCATTTTCCTGTGATGTTAAAAGTTTTATAAATACCATTTTAATAGGTATTCAATATTATATTTTACGCGGATGACTTCAGAATTAACATTTGGATATCATATTGATCCCTGCTAGCTTTATATTATTGTCTCTAGCCCATCATTCCATTCTATTAAGATCAAGTTTAGGGTTCTAATTTGTCATTTTTCAGATTAACTATCTCCTACAGCTTTGGGTCATCTATAGATTTTTCTTTAAACCTTTTTTTTTTAGATTTTATTTATTTGACAGAGAAAGAGATACAGCGAGAGAGGGAACACAAGCAGCGGGAGTGGGAGAGGGAGAAGCAGGCTTCCCACAGAGCAGGGAGCCCGATGTGGGGCTCGATCCCAGGACCCTGGGATCATGACCTGAGCCGAAGGCAGACGCTTAACGACTGAGCCACCCAGGCGCCCCTCTATAGATTTTTCTAAAGAAGTGGTTCTTAAACCTTATTTAACTGCAAAGTCTTTTGTCCAAATGAAATCTTAGAAAGAATGACAGCTAAAAGTTGAACTGCTCCAAAGGGGCTAATGGGACGATTAGAGAACTCAGTGGCTAGTAGCCCTCTGAAGTAATTCCTCAGGAACCCTAGGATTTAGAGGAACTCAGCTTTAAAAGAATAACGTAAGTCTGGGGTGCTGAGGTGGCTCAGTCGGTTAAGTGTCTGCCTTCGGCTCAGGTCATGATCTCAGGGTCCTGGGATCGAGCCCCGCATCTGTTTCCTGCTCAGCAGGGAGCCTGCTTCTCCGTCTCCGGCTCCCCCTGCTTGTGAGATCTCTCTCTCTCTCTCTGTCAAATAAATAAATAAAATCTTTAAAAAAAATAACATGAGTCTTTGATAAAAATCAGCCTTCAGATAGCCATCAAACTTCTACCACTCATGACCAGAGATGACAGGACTTTGAGCCCAAAGTGACAGCAGATTTGTTCTTAGTAGGAACTGAGGTCACAAAAACTAGTAGTGGTTTTACTTATCAGTAACTCTGAGCCTCAGTCATGCCTCTAACTTAGGGGTCGAGATCTGGTGGCTGTAAGGGATCCCAATCTATTATGTCTTTATACCAATACCATCTCTAATCTGTCTCCCAACACTGGTGAGCTTAAATACAGAACAGAATAATCTGAACCTGCCAGCAGGTATGTCCCAAATGTATAGAGGAGATTGGGATTCTGGCTTTAAAGAATCTAGGCTCTGCTACCTCCTAGTTGTGTGACTTTGGGTAATTTATTTACTCTCTTTCATCTCTATTTACTCTTACTCATTTCATTCAACTAAATTGAAGGGAATAATAGTCTTCCCCCCTGAGATAATGCCACAATGCCTGGAAAGGACAGTTATTGGCATACAGTGTGTATTAAATGATAGACTTTAAGTATCTTCAAAATATATTATTAAAATTTAAGTGGCTCTATGTTCTGCTTTTCTCACTGCATCCATAGTCTGTGTATGTTTGTATTCATTGTTGCATTTCTAGTCTTTACAATTCTTTTCTAGGAGATTGAAGAAATACCTGGAGGATGAGGCAGAGGTGTCGGGGAGTGATGTGGGAAGTGAAGATGAGTATGATGGGGAAGAGCTTGACGAATATGAACAGGACGAAATTGATGAAGTACTTCCTTCTGACGAGGAGCTGCAGAATCAAATCAAGAAAATACACATGTCAGTATCCCAACAAGCCCCTTCTGCGTAATGGGGTGTTTCTACGACCAGCCAGAGTGATCCCGGTTTTGAATGCTGTACTTTCCCTGCAGGAAAACGATGTTGGATGATGATAAGCGAGAGCTACGTTTATACCAAGAGAGGTACCTCGCTGATGGGGATCTACACAGTGACGGTCCTGGCCGAATAAGGAAATTCCGATGGAAAAACATAGGTATCTTGGTCATTGCTTTCGGAAACAAAATGGTACGGCATCCGTGTTTGTCCAGTTTAAGACAGCAAGTGGAAATCAAAACCGCAGCAGGCTGTTGAGGAGGACCTGGCCGTAACCGTGACTTGGTGTTAGTGAGTGGGGAAAGCTTGTGTCGGTGTATGATGAGCGATGAGTTCTGTGTGTCTGTCCGGGCACCTTCTCCCAGGAGACTGCGGAATGCTGATAGCCTTGACTCTTTGCTTTAGATGATGCTTCCCAGATGGACTTGTTCCACAGAGACTCTGATGATGATCAGATCGAAGAGCAGCTTGATGAGACAGAAGCCCGTTGGAGGAAGGAGCGAATTGAACGAGAGCAGTGGCTTCAGGACCAGGTAGGAAGTCTGTAAGAACGTCCTCTGTTCTGTCCCTAGTTTATGAGGAGGAGAGGACCCACTCACCTCACTGGTCAGGCTAGTTTCAAAATCTTGGGCAACTTATTGCTGTCCCTTTTAATCCTTGAATTTTCTTTTGTGCTTTGAGAAGATGATCATGAGCAGTTCATTTTGTATTTGTCCAATATCAATTTTTTTGTCTATAGCAACAAAGGTTGCAAAAAAGAAAGCAAATGATATCCCAGGTACCTTAGCTTCACAATCCAGGCTATGCCATTTGGGGACGCGGTAGACTTCCATTAATGTTGATTTTTATTTTCAGGCACAGCAGGGGAAAATTGCAGCTGAAGAAGATGACATTGGGGAAGACAGTCAGTTTATGATGCTAGCCAAGAAAGTTACAGCCAAAGCACTACAGAAAAATGGTGAGCTCTTGGCCCTCCTTCGGGTCCAGCCCCCTGGACTGTTCGTGCTGGAGCCTTGGAAGCGACTGCAGCCTTAGGGACTGTTGCGGCTTAGGCATGGTCCTGTGTCTAACATTGTCTTAAAGAGGGCCCTCCAAGATGGGAAATGACAGTGTTTTTGGATCTTAGCCTATTGGGCAGTGGACATTGTACTTGTGAGTATAGGTAGCTGGTTTGACTTTATCTTCTAACGCAGCTCAGAGTAGGAATTCTGGCTTCTTTATTTAGTTGCCCAGGATTGTGTCAGAGCTAGACTTTGAACCTAGATATATCTAATTCCAGAATGAGGCTCTTAAACACTATTCTGTACTCTTACCATGCTTGTTTTTGCTTATTACTGTTAACTATTTGTCAACGTTCAAGTTGGTCGTCTCTCTTCCTGCCGCTCCTTACTATAGTTTCAAGTCACCATTATAAAATAATCCGAGTTTTCAAGCTTTAGTTTATTCGTTTAGTTACAGGCTTCTTAGCTTGTTTAGATCTAAAGGTAATTCTACCCAGCTTTGCCCAGAATAAGCCTTTCTGTCTTGTCTTTTCAGCCAGTCATGCTGTGGTTACTCAAGAACCAAAGTCTTTACTCAGAAGTCCCTTTGAAGCCGTCAGGCCGGAAAGTGCCCACCAGGTTGGCTGGGGACTTGGTTAGGCTGATGTCACGATCTGCAAGGCTCTCTAGGCCCAGGTCAGGCTAAGGGAGTACTCTGTCATTAGCGGAGGGAGGTGGCTGCAGGAAATGAAAGCAGCTGTCAAAAGATTCTGCTCTTTCTTTTTTACTTGAGTGGGGTAGGAATATGTCCCCGCAAGACCTGGGGAGGCAGGGTGGGACTGACTTCTCATTCTTCCCTTGGCACGTGGGATCTGATGCCAACCGACTCTTCTCTCTTCAGCTGAAGACAGGCTCACTGCTAAACCAGCCCAAAGCTGTGCTTCAGAAACTGGCTGCCCTCTCTGACCTGAACCCCAGTGCACCCCGAAATTTAAGAAACTTTGTCTTCCATACACTTTCTCCTGTTAAGGCTGAGGCAGCGAAGCAATCATCTAAGCCTCAGGTAGGGAATTTGAGAACTGATTTGGTGGCTCTCCAGGGCAAGATTGATTGATTTTTAAATAAAAAATAGAGATATTTCTGGCTTAAAGGTTTATGCTGGGGTGTTAATCTTGCACTCCCCAATGAAGTACCTCCAGTAGGTAATCAGCTTTGAAACTTTCCTGGAAAGATTATATTTCTCTTTTTCCTAAATATCCATGATTTAACTATGTGTTCTTAAGAGCTAATGGAAGGTAAGTACTTGTATGAGGGTCTTGAGCTGGTCCTGACTCTTTCTCTGCTCTCTAGGTAAGGAGAAGGGCTCCATCTTTAATGACATCCCCTTCACCCAAGCGCCTCAAAACAGATGATAGCACTTCAGGATTGAAGCAAAGCATCTTCAGATACTTGGAAAGCTAATATCATCAAGGGTGCTGGCACTTATGTTGAGACTGCTTTGAGAAGTTTCTGGCGTTGAAGATTGGAACTGATGCTCACATGGATGACCTCCCTCTGCTCCCCTTTATAATCAGTGCATTAAGATTACGGACAGAGATTTCAGTTCTTTCCACTGCATCGCTCTGGACGTCTTTTTCCTTTCCTAGTATTATTTCCTGGGTTGGCCACTAATCTTAATTCTGCAGTGTTTACATTAATTCATGGATGCTTGGGTGAAGGCTCACTTCCTCCATTATATATTTGACATTTTATCCTAGCAGCCTCCTGGTTTGATAGCTCTTTGTGAAAGGGGTGGTTGGAGGAGGAGGATGGAAAAGTGTGGCATTACGGAAAATTCCAGAAAACAGGGAATGCCGATGTCGATGCCAGTGGGAATCCTTCACACCCTAAGATGTGCCCCACAGTGACCTGGACTCAGTGAAAGAGCCTTCTTGGAGGACCCCGGAATCAACAGATGGGCCGTTATATTTGTCTCGCCCCTTCCATTTTCCTGTATTCCTCTTCCCGAGGCAGCCTCAACTTGCCGATTAACATTTGCTTCCCCTATAGTAAGGACTCAAATCAGTACCCAAGTCAGAAAGATGTTTGCCCTAATTTTCTGGATTACGAGGATGAAGATTAAGGGTTATATACACCCGGTGTCTTCCACATTATATATCCGATGGGGCAGAGAGAGCTCTCTCCTGGGATTAAATTCTCAATGTGAAACAAAGTTGCTCAAGGACCTCCCTTCTCATCCTGACAAAAAGACATATAACCATTATTTATTGCATTCAACTGGATTTATTACATTGCCCTGACCAGAGGACAACAGTTCATTGCTTATTTAGAGAGAAGACCACTATCGAGTTTATAATCAAAATATTGTTGAAGAGAATTGCCCCCCCACTCCCAATTTTCCCTGAACAATCATGAGGCTCTCAGAATTCTAGACAGATCCTCCCCCGCACCCCCCAGAACTGAGTGTCACTGCTGCTTTGGAAAAACATACCATGTGAATACTGTGGTTTCACTGTCAGGAACTGGACTTGACAAATTGGATGAATTGTGCCAGTTTGTGATGGGCAGATGGGGAACACCAATTTAATTGCTGGAGTTAGGGTGTAGGTTTTCTACAGTTGTTTCTAATACACAAGATGCTGACTTTGAATTTGTATATTTGTAATCTTGTAATGGGGAAAATGTATATAAAGATGTTTTAATATGTATGTAGTGTTTCAATAAATCTCAGTGCCTGAAGGCAGGGTTTGCCATCCAGATTGGGTCCTCATTCTTAGGTCAGTACCTGTCTAATGTTCAGGAGCATTGTTTTCAGGCGACCTGTCTCCTAAGGAAGCCCCCCTGGGTCTAGAGAGAAAGGCTGCTACAGTTGTCCCTCCCTGGCCTCTCCACTCCGGTGAATCACATTAACTCCCCATGTGGTTTGGGTTCAGTGCAGGTGAGGAAAGTTTACATAAATGGTGTCTGTGGTTATAGCTCTTTGATTTGCAGCCTTGGGTCCACGGTGAGGGCTAATGCCCCTCCCTCTGAGCCCTCTAAACAGGGTCCTAGACAGGCAGCCTTTGCCATGCAGAAGAGAGCTGGGAAGGAGGGCGAGATATTTCTCTCCTTTTGCTTTCCCAGACCCTTTTTGGGGGGACAGAAGAAGAGGGCTGGCATTGACCACGGAGGATAAGAAAAGTAGTGTGAAAGATATCCAGGGAGCCAATGGTTTCTGTCCTAGGCTCTGGAAAGAAAGCACTCTGGAGAAAGTGAAGTTGGGTCTTCAGCTCTGGGTCACTTTTTCCCCACGTGGGCACAGCTGTCACAGGGCAAGCTAAGCCTCGACCTGGCTAACAGGATTGCAGTGGAGAGTTGCCTCCAGACCCAGATGCCTCTGCCCCAAACATTGAGCCATGAGCTTCAGCGATGTTTTAATGAAACGCCCCAGGGCCGGCTGCTACAGCTCGTGCTGGGACTCCGCTCCGCTAGCTTGGAACTCCTCCCTGGAGGGGTAAGAGCCTGTGCATCTGTGAGAGAGATATGCTCAGTGTCAGCCCTGTCACCTGGTTCCACACCGTGGGGTAGGGACACATGGTTTTACTTCATGTGAACAGGTCTCTGATCTGGTTAATTCAGTCCACAGTTGTACAAACTACAGACTGTTCTAGGGCCTCTCGCATAAAGCGCCAGGTTCTGTTCACTAAAGCGCCATGGGGACAAGCTGCTCAGCTCCCTTGCAATCCCTCATCTCAACTGCTTCTCCACAAACTGTGCCCTTCGAGAATTTCTAATGGTTCAGACTGGACGTTTTTGGTCTTTATGTCCTCTACTTGTTTAATGACTCATAGGGTTTCCTGTCTTGACTTGTTCACCTAACGATAGGGAGGAGTGTCATGGTATCTGATCACATCATACTTGAGACAGTGTTCTATCTTCTACCTTGTATTCTCTTTTTTTCTTTTATTCATAGAGATTTTATTTTTAAGTAATCTCTACACCCACTGTGGGGCTCGAACTCACAACCCTGAGATCAGGAGTTGCTCGCTCTACGGACTGAGCCAGCCAAATGCCCTTCTCACTCCATGACATGTGGCCTGGAATGTAGTGTTGCCTAGTAAAGGTTGAATGAATAATACCACACCTTTCAGAGCCTCCATCGAGAGCTATAAAATGAGGATCGTCATTCATGCCTGTCTCAGAGTTGTGAGGCTTACGTTGGAAAACGAACGTGAATGCATTATGTCAAGTGCTACACAGCAAGCCTGAGAAATCACTCCTGTCACAATTGTATCACGTTTTGTGGACAACTTAAAGGCCCATTGTCTCATAAGCATCTCAAATGTGTGATCTTAAAAAGCATCTTTTTTTTTTTTTTTTAATTTATTTATTTGACAGACACAGCGAGAGAGGGAACACAAGCAGGGGGAGTGGGAGAGGTAGAAGCAGGCTTCCCGCCGAGCAGGGAGCCCGATGCGGGGCTGGATCCCAGGACCCTGGGATCGTGACCTGAGCCGAAGGCAGACGCTTAACGACAGCCACCCAGGCGCCCCTTAAAAAGCATCTTAAAAATGTGATATTCCCCGGGGAGCCTGGCTGGTGCAGTCAGTGGAGCGAGCGACTCTTGATTTTGGGGTTGTGAATTCAAGCCTCATGTTGGGCCCAGAGCTTACTCTAAAAAAAATAATACGATCTTCCTTCCTTCTAAAAACCTGCTCCTTCCTCCAGTGTTTCTCATTTCAGTAAAAGTACCTCATATAGGGCTCCTGGGTGGCTCAGTTGGTTAAGCGACTGCCTTCGGCTCAGGTCATGATCCTGGAGTCCCGGAATCGAGTCCCGTGTCGGGCTCCCTGCTCAGCAGGGGGTCTGCTTCTCCTCTGACCCTCCTCTCTCTCATGCTCTCTGTCTCTCATTCTCTCTCTCTCAAATAAATAAATAAAATCTTAAAAAAAAAATAAGTACCTCATATACCCAGTCGTTCAGGTGGGAAACCTGAAGGGCGTAATTTTTTTTTTTTAAGTTATGAAGATTTTATTTCATTTTATCATTCCTTCAAATCTGAGTCGAAAGGATTTTCTTTTTTGTTGTAATTGTAACAAAAAATATATTAGTTTAAGGTGTACATTATAATGGGATTTGATATTTGTATATATTGTGAAGTGATCACCTCAGTAAGTCTAGTTAATTAACATCTATGATCACACATGGCTACTTATGCATTTTTTTTCTTGTGATAAGAACTTTTATGATCTACTCTCTTGGCAACTTTGTAGTATGCGATACCATATTATTAAGTACAGTCACCATGCTGTATATTACATCTCCATGACTTAATTTATATGACCATTCTCTCTTTTTAAAAATATTTTTCTTTTTATTTTCTTTTATTTTTTAAATATTTCTTTTATATTTTAAGCCCAATGCGGGGCTTGAACTCACAACCCTGAGATCAAGAGTCACCTGCTACACTGACTGAGCCAGCCAGGCACCTCTGTAGGGGCATCCTTGACACCTCCTTCCTTACTTCCGTAATCAAACACTCTCTGAGACCTGGTATTTCAATTTCCACATTGCATCTTGACTCAGCGGTCTCCCAGCTCCATAGCCAGTGCCCTAATCCAAGCTTCCATAATTTCCTGCCAGCGGACTGCGACAGCCTCCTGATCTCTCCTCTCCTAAAATATTTTTGCTTGCTTTCCATCTAATCTATGCACAGCAGCCAGAGGGTGACCTTTGTATAAACATAAATTGGAGGATGCCACTCCCTCATATAACACCTTTCAGTATCTTGGGCGCCTGGGTGGTTCAGTCGTTAAGCGTCTGCCTTCAGCTCAGGTCATGGTCCCAGGGTCCTGGGATGGTGTCCCAAGTCTGCTCACTGCTCGGTAGGGAGCCTGCTTCTCTCTCTTCCTCTGCCTCTCCCCCCGTTTGTGCTTGCTCTCTCTCTGTGAAAGGAATAAAATCTTTAAAAAAAAATTTTTTTTAAAGATTTTATTTATTTATTTGATGGAGAGAGACACAGCGAGAGGGAACACAAGCAGGGGGAGTGGGAGAGGGAGAAGCAGGCTTCCCGCTGAGCAGGGAGCCCGATGTGGGGCTCGATCCCAGGACCCTGGGATCATGACCTGAACCAACGGGAGATGCCTAACGACTGAGCCACCCAGGCGTCCCTCAAATGAATAAAATCTAAAAAAAAAAAAAAAAAAAGTTTCTCTCCTTTGCCCTCTGCCCCTCCCCCCCTTCTAAAAATAAAAAATAAAACCTTTTATTGTTTCCTTTGCACTCAAAATGAGCTTCAAACTCCTCATGGCCTACAAGGTCCTCCATTATATAGCTCTGCCTCCCAACCTCCTGTCCACTCTCCTTCCACATTACACTTAACCTCAGGGCCTTCCAAAGTGTTCTTCCCTTTTCCTGGCATGCCTCCTCTCCACCCTCCTTTTTTGTCTGGCTAGTGTATAATTCTCCAGATGTTAGCTTAGATTGAACTTCCATTACCACCCCTTTCTTAATCAGCTTACCTCTGTTAGTTTCCTTTTCTTTTGCATCTTTTATCACAGTTTTTAAAAAGATTTTATTTATTTACTTGAGAGAGAGAGAGCACAGAGGGAGAGGGAGAAGCAGACTCCCGCTGAGCAGGGAGCCCGATGCGGGGCTTGATCCCAGGATTCTGGGATCATGACCTGAGCCAAAAGCAGGTACTTAACCGACTGAACCACCCAGGTGCCCCCTTTTATCACAATTTGCCACCTTAATGTTTGTGTAGGTCTGCCTTCCTCATTAGACTAAATTTTGTAAAAGCAGAGACCATATCTGTTTTGTTAAAAAATGTAAAGAAAGGGGCGCCTGGGTGGCTCAGTCATAGAGCGTGTGACTCTTGGTTCGGGGTTGTGAGTTTGAGCCCAACACTAGGTATAGAAATCGCTTAAAAATGAAATCTTTTTAAAAATGTAAAAAAAGAAAAGAAAAGAAAGAAAAGCACCGTACCTGGCACATAGAATCATTCAATAAATACCTACTGAGCAAGGACTGATTTGAAGCCTGGAAGAGCTAATGGGGAGAAGCTTGGAGCTGAACTGCTTGCAAAGAAGCTTTCTAGTGTGGGATAGTTGAGGTGGTAGCTAAAGCCTTAAGTCCTTGTTCTGCAACTTACAAGTGGCATGACCTTGAATAAGTCATTCTCTGACCTGCTTTCCTCATCTGGAAAATGAGGCCCGAGTGGAATGACTGGGGTTTAGCTCACAGAGCTGTGGTTGGGATCAGAGGCACAAATTAACCTGAAATGATGGAGCACACGTAAGAGGCCACACTGATGCCCACTAGCCCGCTGCTGAGGATGGGGTGGGGCTCAGGCTCACCGTGGTCTGGCTGAGTAGGGAGGAGAAGCCAAGCCTTACCAGAGCCAGCAGCCCATGGCCCATGGGCTGGCTCTGTGCTGGGACCTGTGGGAGTGGTTGGGATGGGCGCTGGCCGTGTACCTGGACTCTCGCAGCGAGCTCAGGAAATCAGCATGGCTTTGTGGACGGCTGGGGTCATCTCAGATTTTACCTTTGGAGACCCCGGTGCCAGATCTCTATCCCTAGTAGTTGTATCGTCCGTCTGTACTATCCCCGTCCTTCCCATCCCCTCTTTCTGTCCTCCCTTCTCTCACCTTAAAGGTTTTCATTTTCAGTGTATTGATCTAGTTGTTCCCTGTGGTGGGATACATAATGGGAAAAGGGAGTTTGAAGTAGCTACAGCCTCAGGGTGTTTGGAAGAAGCTCTGGGGCTGAACGCCTGGGTTCTTTCCCTT